TACTGTCCCCCCCCCCCCCCCCCCACAAAGGATTCCATCATCAGAATGGGTTGCTTGGGCCAGCAGCAAGAGTTGATGATTACTTGAGCAGCAGCAAGATTCAGGAAGCTTCACCAGGTGTTTACTCATTGGTGCCAGCATCAGCAGAGATCAGCAAACCAGATCAGGTAAATTATAAGAATGAATCTTCTCACATTGTTCATATATATATATATATATATATACAGTATCATCATTTCTGTAAAAAAAATGCCCAGCAGATGTCGCTCCTCTCTTCCTCAGGCATTTGTTATAAGCTATAACTACCGTAAGCTAAATTGATTCTATGAAAATGGTTCCTTACTATACCTGCTGAAAGAGCATAGTTTAGACTTTGAGGAAACATCATAAATTTATATATTTGGCACTGGCAAAATTCAGGGAAATGAAGTTTTAATTTAAGCAATTAATACCTGTACAGTATTTTCTGTTTCAGCACCCTCTGTATATTAAATTTTTTCAAATACTGTTGAACCTGTTGGACCAGCAAAAAAATAAATTGAATCAGGAAAGCTTCCAGTTACAAAAACCAGCATTTTTGGGAGATGGGGGAGAAGAGCTACAGGAAAACTGTGATCAGTAATATTCTGGACCTTGCATTCCTTCTTGAATGAGTTGACAGGATGCTCAATAAAGTTGGACAAGGCAAGGGTTAAACTTCCTTTCAAAACAAATTTGGTTATTGCGTTTCTCTTTCCTATGTGAATTAAATAATGGCCAAAAGGCCACCAAGGAAAAATTGTTATGCAGTTTTGGGTAGGATCCTTGAAGTTACATGAGGTTTCTATTCCATTATTCTTTTTCATAAAATTCAGATAGCCAGGACTTGAAACACAATATTTCATGGATGGGCAAATTTGCTGGGAGGTTGACTTGCAATTTGACTTCTGTTCTGCAATTTGACCTGCAGAGAGACATGAAATATTCTATTTGATGTATAGAAAACAGTGCATTGGATGTAGTCTTGCAATTTGACAATGTCACAATTTCACGCTAACTGCCAGCAGTGGACAAGGGTAAAATGTTTAGGTACCACCTGCTGCATGTGACTTGGGAAAGGTTGACTTGAATGAATGAATAAACAGAACACTTTATTTGCCGCTTTTCAGCGTTCACAAGGTTCAATCAAGATTTCCACATCCAAACCCCCTCATCCTCACCCAACCTTATTTGCTGCTTTTCAGCGTTCACAAGGTTCAATCAAGATTTCCACATCCAAACCCCCTCATCCTCACCCAACCCAAATCCACTCAAAGACATTTAATCACTTCAGAGCAGGAAACAGAACGCAAATGGATAACAATAAAAATAAAAGAAAATAAAATCAAAGTTTGACTTATTTATTGAGATTCAACTGCATTGACTTTATTCAAATGAAATTTATATCTCCAGTAATGCAGATTATAGGTTTATTGTACTCCTTTTTGGGTTCAGAGTAAGCTAACTCATCTCACTCCAGAAGGTCATGAGGTTAACCAGAATAATTGACCTTCATTGGTCTTTGAGGGAACCTTATTTAAGAGGTTCCCCTACACTATACACTCCCTCTATAATAAACAAATGTAGTCACCAATAACCAATATTTTATATAGCCAGAAACATGTACCTTTCTTGTTTGTTTATGATAACACACTGGATGGTTGGTGTTATAAAATACACAACATGTATATTCACAGCATCTCGTCATGGGCATGAGTGCTGATGCTGCATCAGGAGACGACTCATCATCATCATCATCATCATCATCATCATCTTCATCAGAATCAGGATCAGCACTAATCAGCATGAGACCCCAACAGCAGCAGCAGCAGTTGGCATCAGGAGTTTTCCTGCGCAAGACCCGCATCCCCATGGGCGTGGGCGTGCGACTGCCGGCCCTGTCCACGGGCCGGTCCCTGTCCCGCATGGCCGAGGAGTCCCGTTGGGCCGTCGGCCACGGCCACCCCGGCAAGGCCCGGTTCGGGGCGTCGCCGTCGTCGTCCCGTCGCGGCTCGGGCTTCTCGGCCTGGGCCACGGGCTCCTGTCCGCGCTGCTGCGCCTGGCCCGCCAGCTGGCCCACCAGCTGCAGACAAGTCTTCAACTGCTTCTCCTGCTAATCGTGCTTATATACATTGCGATGCATATCAGCATATATTATAGCGAGCAGGCGAGGAATGAAAAAAGCAGGACATGAAATGAGCATAATCATCATCATCATCATGGAAAAAGAAAATGATAATTAAGGAGGGGAACACAATAAATAATGCTTGCTGATGGTCCATCACATATGAGAGCTGAGCAGTTGCAGCAGCAGCAGCAGCAGGGAGATGAGGATTTCTTATTTCTTCTTCTTTTTTTTTGGCCTGCAGTTTTTTTGTGTTGTTGTTGTTTTTGGCGGATGATGGAGCAGACAATATCTATGTACTGTGTGTATATAAATATATACAGTGAGACCCTGAGATGCAGACATAATTGCTGCATCAAGAGTGTTCCTATAGGTTGAAATGTCCCCAAGTTGAGTCTCATTTTCCCTTAGACTTACATTATATAATTTTTAATTTTTTTTATGGAAAAAATACTCACCATAATTAATTCCATGAAAATAAAAATTGTCTCCCAATTGAAACTGATTCAATCAATAAATTTCAACACAATATTGACATTTTGGGAATTGAATACTGATACCTTGTCTGTATATACAGTACATATAGACATGTTGGCATTCTCCGTAAAAAATAATGTTCAAGTGATAAAGAGAGAAGGAAGTCCCTCTCTGCTGGAGGTAATTTTTTTCAAATTAGCTAAATGGATGATAAATTGGTGAGAGAAATGCCCAAGAACTTTTCTTAGATCATTTTTAGGGTTGGAAATATCTTTTTCTATTAATTTGACCGGAAATGTATTTGCAATTGTATCACAAAATGTCCCTATGTTGAGTCAGTGTCCTCATTTTGGGCCTTTTTTATTAATTTTTTATGGGAAAATAAGTGTCCCTATGTCAAATTGTCTGCAGGTCAAGGTGTCTGCATGTGGGGTTCTCACTGTATATGTATTGGTGCATGCTGGGCGTTTTCAAATTTGAACTCGGACCAATTGAACAAGAAATACACACTGAAGGACTTTAAATCAGCAAATATTCATTTGTATAGTGCAATATTCTGTCATATTGGGCCTACTGCCATATATACAGTAATAAATTCCTCATGTAAAGAAAAGTGTACAATATTTTATCATTGTGGGTTCATTCGTCATCTTTGAAACACTTTGGCAAGTTTTATTGTTATTGGACACTTGTGAGCAGCAGCCAGAAAATATTCAGATTTCTGCACCATTTTTCAAGAGGAGAATTTGCACAAGCCAAAACCAGCCCATTCATGGGTGTGTGTATGTGTGTGTGTGTGTGTGTATTGCTTTTTTTCAAATGCTGGTCAGTATTTGTTGCAAGTTGCCAGTATAACTTCTTTTCTTGCATGCTGTGAGCCATGAAAAAAAATATATCAAGTTATTTGGCAAAGCTCACCAGCAGACATCTTTCAAGTTCAATGAATTAGTCATGTCTTCATTGATTTTTTTTTGTGTTTCATAGCTAATTGTGGGCCAGGCATAAAATCACCTGATTTGTTTTTGTTTTTTAGCTGACCCACAAAAAATTTACTACATGAAAATCTCATTATGTTCCTCAACTATATTGGAGGTCAAGTGCTCATCAAACCAAAACTAGCCTTGAGTGAATCACATTTTACTCAAACAAACCTTAAAATTGACAAATAACAGCAATCTGAGAAATAATTTATGTGGCATTGCCAAACATGCAGTGCTTATATATTCAGCTTGTGCAAATTTGCCCATGTATATGTTATTGTCTCTTAACATTATATCATTATCACAAGCAATTCATGATTCAATTGTGACAGGTTTCTGCATGCCAAAAGAAATACACACTCATCATCAACAAACAGTATTGCCTTTTCAAAGCTCATGCATTAAAAAAAAATCACATTTTGTCCCATATTATCCATGGTATGATAGAATTAATATAAGAAATTGACACAAATTCCAATTTGCAAAAAGGATTTCTGCACTGTATTTCAAGTACACCACATCTTGACAATACCTTCCTCCCCTCAGTTTCCAATTCACGCAACAAAAAAATCATGCATAAATAAATACCAGAAGTAGCAAAAATAATGTATCAAATTTCACACAGCACGTGATGATGGGGGTAACTCATTGATGATATCATGTATATGCTGGAAAAGTATGAAAACACGAGTTTCAAAACGACGAATAATCCAACTGCTGCTTGA